GTTATTAAAAGGTTAAGCTACAAACCCTGTTAAAGATCACGCTTCATGGTTCTAATTTAACGCTTTATCAAATGTGCAAGATATTTCATGAACATTATCTTTGTGAAGTTAATCTAGTATGATGACCAGATATCCATGTGATTTGACTTATGTATCCCCGCTGTTATAAACCTATACAATTAATCAATTTCTATCGATTTGTCTGTTTCTCCGTTTCTTATACAAAGTCTGATGTTGACAGACAACTGGAAGCCCTACAATTGAAAAAGCTAACCGAGATTCAGATACAAAATTGTGTTTTCGATATCGTTTTCTCTGGATATCCATAAAGTGCATGTCTTCAAGCTATTGTCTTTTTTACAGTCTGCTTTATCCGTCCAATTTGTTTTGCTTCCTGTATAATTATTCTCATATTAATATCAGTATTAAGACTTCAATAATTATACTAATTTAACACAGGTCTGATTATTTTATCCATAAATTACACCAGAATGGCATCGGAAGCAGTCCGTCAATACAGAACGACGCCTTGTCATATTTATATCCGCCAATATGACACATGTATAATGTTGAAATTTCTTAAGGTCATCGTTTCCGTCACTGAAAAGAGTACAAGGAGAGCCCAAGTCGACTTTCCATCTCATTGAACAGGGCAGCAAATTTCGACCGCAAATGAATGTACTCAACCAGATTTGAGTTTTGTAAGAGATCAAAGCAACTTTTAACAATTTGTGAAAGGTGGCAAATACGATTTACAGTCATCGGAATCCTTCTGCAGCGATAGATACTCTAAGATATCGGATGTGGCAGCAGACGTTGCTCTCAGATAAGAGTTTGGACGAGTTCAGTGCGCCACTCTGGGGACAGAGCAAACATCGATATATAATATACTGTTGAAAAAAAAAACGGTACCGCCATTCACCATCAATTTTAATTGAGAGTTTTTATCAGATAGAAAAAGTAGGCGTCAGTTGTTTGAAGTGTCTTCAGTTTCTATTTTCAGCGAAAAACATCTCAAATTATTTCTAGTGATATATTTATTATTAAATGACATCGCGTCATGTGTAGAGGAAATATGCATTACAACTGATGATTCTGAATTGGTTAACTTTGAGATCAATCGATATCGCTGATATTAATACCAACTCGTGGCTCTCTGAATGGGCTAAAATCTTTCCGGGGGGATATAGCCTGCGCCAGTATTGTCCGAAATTTATTATTTATTAGCGGGGCGCAGTTAGTTTCATTGTTTGCCATAGCTCTTCTTTTCAATATCGCAGGTTCTCCACATTATTGGTTCCGCAATTTACAGCAATCTTGGAAATCACGCATATTGAAATTCATTATGCGGTTGATATAACATATTAAACTTGGGTTCCCTTCAGACATTGCCCCAAAAAAAACCTTTGAATATTATGATTTAAGTGGAACCGAGTTTGCATAACTAACTGTAGTTTTACAGCTACCAGGAAGACACCCTAACAAAGAATGTTTCAGAGATATTTAAAATCTATTGTGAGCTTCGCGGGTGAAATATGTAAGCTCTTTCCTTAAATCGAATCCACAATTACGGCTGAGTTCACAGGTGTTGTCAGTGAGATGGCATAATATTCCAGTTAATTGTTGTGGTTGTATAGTTAACCACTCAAACTTTGGTCTTAAATTACTTGAATTTAAATGGCATTGTTCCGGCTTTTACAATATTTCTCCAGTGCTCTCCAGTAATGTCATTATCGTTTGGAGTCTGTAAGTGAGGATCCATTGCACAAAATTGTCCAGTGATTATCTAACAAATTGTAAGCCCCACTGCCGAGTTCGTTGCTATGTGTGGCACCGCTGAAGGCTGATTAAATATGGGTGGTGATATGTGTCTACAGTAGCAGTATGTCCACTGACCATAAGGTTCCTTCCTATGCTGTAGCTATCCTAAAGAAGGGGGTATTTCTTCAAGTACATATACACTGATGGTTAGAAATGAAAAGATGATGCTCCACGGCTTCTTCTCGAACCGGTTTCAGGGTCAAATGATCAATTTCGACTTTCTGTTCGCTCCATGACTGATGCTGCAAGTTGTTTCCTAATTGCATCAAGATTCTACCAGTTGCAATGTCGAATTGCGCCCAACTTTAGTTTCTAACAATCAAAATCTGACATTCTGCTTTCTCATGACATATTGAAATGGAAAAGTCCAACCATCCCCTAAGGAAGATGTCTGTAAATGTACTGTTAACATTTTGTTAGCTGATATTAATATGTACAAGGTGTTGAAAGGCGTTATAGAAGAACGACATACCGACCATGAAAGCAGAGAAGACAATAATTGTTATAGTATCATAGATGGTTTAGAGAGAGAACGAAAGAAATTGACAGAATCCCATGTCTTAACGCGGGAGTCGATTACTGAGTAATGCATCATTTGACATCAAAGAAAACATTGCTACATCAAAGGCTGCGATTAACTCAATTCTATGGTAAACTAAAATTATTTAATACCCCTTCAATCAAATCAATTCAGATTGGTACTGTATTTTTACAGTCAATATCATACAAGTTATTATAAAACATATAAAAGGTCGTTCGTGAAATTTGACAAATTGAATGGTTGCCTATTTAATGAATAGCACTTGGTAATATTTTCTCTGAAAGCATGTAATCTTGATAAAATATTACTTTTGATGCATTGATGCGAAATTGGGCTTTAAGCTTTTCAAACTAGGTCTTAGATATTCACCATTATAAGTAAGTTACTTACGTACAAGTAAATTTAGTTTAATTTGAATTAATAATATACAGTTTCTTGAAAATATACAATTTCAGACTAAATAAATGGCCAACGATTTCTGGTATTTGTTCCGTCGATATTTATATGCCCAATATGGAATCGCTAGTTCTAAAATGACTTTGGATAGAAATTACTTCTATGTATTCCTTCTACAATAGCGGGTTTCTATGATCATCTACATATTTTAATTCTAAATGCGGGTCTTCAACAGTTGACAAATGTGTAATGAAAAAAATAGTCTTAAGGTTAGTAAATATGTAGGTGGATGAATCAAGGACGTGTTATAAAGAAGGTAATTGGACAATCTGCTTTTAACTGGTTTTACACCTACCACTAAGTTATACTTCCCTCGCAATTAAATAACTTGAACTTATTAATTATTCCAATCCTTATTATTCCAATCCTTATTATTCCAATCTTTTTCAATTGTAATTATTCCCGATCTTATTAAAGCATGTTCGGTTTCAGAAGTGTTTACCCGGAAGTCAATCAGCTTCAAATCTAGTTCAAGAGTTCTTAATAAACTTTTCTTTTGGTATGTCTACCCGGAAGTAGATCTAGCTGTAAAAACATTTATTATTAAGAAGATTTTCTTTGTAAAAACATGACTATTATCTCTTGCTGGGAAATTTCATTTCATAATATTCCTACAGCAATTCCACTTCGACTTAAACCAAATTACTCTTTATCAAGGGAAATAACTCGTCATAAAAAATAATTAACCACTATTGCTGATCTATTCAAGATCGTATATTCAACCTATGTCAAATTAAGGACGTATTCAGTTAGTACTAAATAAGTATTTATTTATTTATGTTTGTACCATATCGGATTTCAGTTCTACATCTTCGATTATAATTAATATGATGCGTTCTTGTTAATCGACATTGAAATGAAATGAGACCAAGCACCTGTTAGTTGTCTTGCCATAGGGCCTACCTTCGACAAGAAGAGAAATATATGGATCTAGCACCGGAACAATTGATCTACTATACTAACTGCTGCGCGACATGAACGTTGCAATTTTTCCCTCAAGATATATTACTTCACCCATTTTCCTGTACCCCGAATTGCTAGTTAAAACATCAAACACGTACTGCACAACACGTACTGCTTTGTGTCTGTACTGCTTTGTGTCTGTACAGCCATTTGAAACACAAATAATAAATTAATGCATTTCTTATCTAACGTTATTGTAATTTAATGTTCAACTGTCAACCACTTAATCACAAATAAATAAACCTTTTATGATTAGTGTTCATTTTCTTTATTAACAAGACAAGTTTATAGCTCATATAGTCTGTGGGGGCACATGACCCCCGGCTAAGAATCGGTACATTAAATTGAATATGTTTCCTTGTTTGAGAATTCGATGAATAAATTGTTTTAATGGGATCTTTGACATGCTGCATCTTAAAAATGTTTTGACGATTAGTTTCAAATGAAATGCAATGAATGGAGTCGTAAGTCCTACTTTTCAGCACCATGTTGGCTAATGCTCTTTTTACTGCCCCATCAATGATATAATTGATAATACTTTAAACCAAAATGATTTATCTATATTGTGGTTTACTTGAAAATGACGCTTTTTATTTGAAACATAAATTGTGAAAAACATATTAAAGGTCGATCTGACTGGTCGATGTGTACAATGGACGAATTGTCTAACGACCTTGACCAGTAGGTTTAATAAATCAAACATGGAGGATGTTGAAAGACAAAAGAAGAAATTTTACTTAGTTTTCTCGTTTTAAATGCGATTTTATTTCAGATTCATGTTTATGCCACACAGTTTATAACGGGTAATGTAGCAGATTATTTGGAAATGAATAAAAATCGATAATATCTAAGAGACGAGGAGAGAATGTAGGCTATCAACATAATATATTTCATAGGTGCGTCTATTTACTCGATTGAACTCCATCCGTGTTAATTTTGCATCTGACATTTGTGTTTTTAACCGTTACGTCTTTCAGTATCCAAAGGAAAAAGCAGAAGTTATAAGTCAATGTTGGAAAATATGTGCTGAAGGACTGAAGGCCAAACATATTTTTGTTATGTGACACAAATTTTAATCCTCCATTTTAAAACAGAGATAAGCTTATACCAAAGACTGAACCAGCTGAGTTGTCATTTCCTGTGACAACATCTTTGACTTACTGGTCACAAGTTGAAACTAAATTCATAAATTTTGAGCAATTAATTTAAATCTATCAACATGTTTTCAATCAGAACCCTTTTGTATTTACCTTGTGGCGTGTGTGGCAAAATATTTCTTTACAATGAACTGTTCAGACATGTTACAACTCATAAATATACAGATAAGGAAAGAAAGAGACCATATAAATGTGAATATTGCTTTAAAGCATTTGTTAAAAGCCATGACTTGAAGAGACATATTAGAACACATACTGGTGAGAAACCGTATGATTGTGCTTTTTGTCCTAAATCATATTCGACTAATAGTGAACTAATGAGACATATCTGGATACATACTGGTGAGAAACCATATAAGTGTGATTTTTGTAGCAAATCATTTACTACAAATAGTGAGTTAATGAGACATATCCGGACACACACTGGTGAAAAACCATATGCATGTGATGTTTGTAATAAGTCATTTTCTCAGAAAGGTCATTATACAAGACACATCAAGACTCATAATGGCAGGCTTCAATTTAGATTGAAAAACTTAACTAGCAAAAAGTCCCAACAATGTAAAACTTAATGTACAGTACTATACCAGCGATGGTTATTTGATACAGAACCAAGGTTCACAGAAAGGATATACGAGTTAATTGTTAAAGAATCAATGCTCTTCCACATTACTCAATTTGGTTAGGTCAATTGCTTTGACTAAACAGAAATCTTCCAAGAGGATAGTATGACTATGTGGACACCTGAATTTGTTATATTTGATGAATCATGGCTTGAAATGGGTCACATTTTGGAAATAAGCTATTACAGCAGAAATATTTTTACTTAAAGCTGTGAATTTTGTGGATATTTTATTATATAAATTGGAAAGCTGTAGTAACTTTTTCGTGGTAATTCTTTTACCGGTACATCCAACAGTGAGATTATGAGGCATTTAAGACCAAAACTGGACTTCAAAACATAGTGTTTATACTGACATTTAGAGATTTACTTTCACATATATGTCATAATTAGATGCATAACCTTCTGATTAGTCTTTAGTAGATTGTATTTTGTAGCTCATTTTATCTTGTGTGATGTTTAAGGTTAATCATTAAGTACCATTCTTGGATGAACAAACTGTGAACTTCTATATTATGAATGTGATATTAATTTGAATAGAGGAATTGTTCAAAGACCCCAAACCAACCAAACACAAAAAAAAACAGTGCATGAAAATCATATGACATTACACAATTATGTGTCTGGACCTCAAATCTATATTATCAATTGCCAATTATATATTGATACAGTATGTTAATATATACGTATACATCTATATTATTTGTATGTACTTTTGGTGTACTTTTTTAATAAATGAAATACATAAACATTATGTGGAGTTTTATGTCCAAGGATAACTAATTTTACCTGAAGAAAAGGACAAATAGGTGAATTTAGCACCGACTCTCATGTCTGACTGCCTTTGTGGATCATGGCAAGTTATATGCTTTGAACACGAAAGTTCTGGGAAAAAATTGACATTCAGAAATTCTTTAATGCGAATGCCTGAGCATCAACTATTCCATTTGCTCTCTTGATCTGTTCTTAGAACTTAATTGCAGGTACCCCCATCAATTTACATGACAGAAGGATTACTTTCCAAATTTAGGTATATATGATACATTTCAGACACGTACTTTTAAAATAACAGGAATGGATATGTTTGGAGTGGTTATCTAAATATATATTAAGGAAAATCTCGGATGAACAAGGTTACAACCTTTGGTTGATTTGTCATTTGCGTTGTTTAGAAGTGTACTTCCTCTTAGGATGACTAAAAGATTGAAATTTGTAAACTTTGTTCATCAGTGGACTTACCTGGTTTTAAACTATATGACATAACCCCTTTATAGTCTAATAAATTATTAAAACTATCATTTATTAAGTAATTTTGAAACTTGCTTAGGAGCGTGTTTCAATAATTATTTAGTTCAATGGATATGTTATATTCAGATTCTTTTTTTTAGTCATGGCACCTGGTAAGTCCACTGATGAATATATACATTTTATTGACCAAGTCTCCTCTTTAAATTTTATGTCCATTCTAAGAGGTAGTATCCTTTTAAGTTCACAATAAAAAATATCATTCCATATAAAAGAATTATTGTTACAGGAAATTTCGAAACATAGAACACATGTTTTATAAATAAAGATATGCATCAAAAAACGTAAAATCAATGGGATAAATGTAATAACATCAACATTATTGGCTATATAATTTACCATTAGTCCCAGAAGAATGAATTGAAATCACACAATTTACAAATCTTTTTTCTGAAACTGGAAGCGAAACGCTTGATGTCGGATTTTATTCTGGTCGATTCTATAGAAGATAGATGATAGCGAATATTTAGAGGACTCATTTTAAAATATAGCGATAACAGGCCCGAATCAGAACATCGCGATAGTAATGAAAGACATGCCACGATACGCGTATTGTATTACTCTGTTTTGTATCGATACTGATACAAAAGGAAACAAATGAAGATGAAATCGAAAGTAGAAGTTCCATCCGTGATCGACAACGTGACAAGGTTGCGTTTAATAATATGATCAAACACAATTGGAAAAGATACCATTTTTGTAACTTTGTTCAATTGGATTGTCACCGTGGACGCCTTTGTTTTGTGGTTAAATCTAATGAATGATCATGATAGTATCCATTTTATTACCATTTCGTTAATAGATAATGCGTGCTTTTTAATCTCACAACTTGAAACTTGAGCTATCTATAATGTGTCGCTAATTGAGCTATTTGCAGGCATGGGTGACGGCAATATACGCCACCCACTCCCCCCCCACCCCCCATTTCATGTGGGCGTTAAATATTTTCTCAATCTTGGAAGACTACTCTCCATCAACCAAAATATTTCTTCTTTCATATAAATTCGCTCAATTCAACATACTTTTACTGTTTCTGAAAACGTTAAATTTTGTCAAATATTGACCAATACTTAATGTTAGGCTAAAAACTTAATACATAATGCATATGTATATGCTATGTCAATCCCAATTTCCTCAATTGTGTGCTGTTTTTAATAGTTTTTTTGTTCGTTTTTACCGCTAGATTAGTACAATACGAATAACGAAATGAAACCAATTTGGCTTGTAGACGCTAGTTATTGAGACATTAGAAATGTAACCCCTTCATTATCTATACTCAATTGTCTAACATTTTGATGTCATTTTGTATAGATTATGGCAGAAACTTGAATTATGCCAAAGTTAAACTAATTTCTTTGCTGTCAAAAATTGCATTAATTTGTTTCTAACAAATTTGAAAATATGATTTCTATACTTTTTGCTCCAAAATATCTGTCAGAATGCACCAAATCAATTCTATTTTCTTGGGGAAGAACCTTTTAAGACGATCCATGGGAGGCTTGCGCCTATGCTCTTCCACACAACGAATTTCAACCTTAACACTTGTTCCCCGTTAAGTCAGCTCACCCTAACATAATTCGTGTTCATGTGCTTTACAGATTGGTTGTACTTTGTACATATTTTCACTCACAGATACAGACTGAACATATGATAATTAATATATGAGAAGGTCAATACCACGATGTCCGAATCATTACTCGTATAAAAGTCTGATATCAATTTAATCTTCATATTGATTACAACATTTCTTACATCCGTTCATTATCAAGCAATGTCATCTTTGAAGATCGGCTACCCAATTCGGCCCAATTTAATACACCACAGCATTGGCTGTAGGTCCCACCACTTTGAAATAGCAAAAGTTTTGAAAATCATGTATCTATGAAAATAACTCTTTCAAAATATTCTATCCTTAATTTAATACTTGAAAATTATCCTGGAATGGAAAGGCTTATCTTTATTTCTGACCTACGCGATATATAATTTCTTTTATACATTTAGTTATCTTGTCTAGATTTCATGTGTATTAATTTATATAATAATTCCAAATTTAACTCATAATTCTGACATTTCGAAGCGGTCCACCGCCGAGGTTGGTTCTTCTTCACAATGTCAAGCTATTACAAACCGCGTTTAATACCTGAACTTCATTGCGCTCTTTTCTCATATCACAGAATGCAGCAAATTGATTGAATTGTACACTAGAGAATACAGTCAACCAGAGCCCTCGACATAAAGACTTTAACATGATGAATTATTATCTATCGAGTGGTGTAATTGGCTGTATTCTTAGCGTATTATCCAATCAAACCACAATGTTACAAACTTTCGTTATAGACGAGAAGAGGCCGATTGAGTCAAGGTATTAGTCTCAGTTCGTAATAGCTCGACATTGTGAAGATAGAGTTGGTTAAGCTATTGGCGTTCAGACAATTCGTGCTAAACAAACTGCCTTCGAGCTTGTTAAAATACATAAATTGTAAAAAAAAGGTCAAAATCGATATTTGCCTTTGGGAATTCATTTCTTTATGGATTAGAACTCAGCGGTAGACTAAAATTACTTGCATTAGCCATAATGGAAATATTGGTCGTATTCTAATGTTCCAGGAATATAGTACATTCTTATTCAGACACTCTAAGAGTTTTTTTCCGTTAATGAAATATCATTAGAAAGTTAACAAAATATTTAAGTATCAAGCTATTATATTTCCATGCCACATGCAGAGTTCATATTTATATATGGACAGAAACAATAAAAAGTCTGATGATAAAAATAACTTTTAATTTCGCCATTGGTGAAACCCTGAAAGATGCCTTCAGCAGGAATCAATTAAAGTGCTAAATTAACTCCTGGACGTTCGTAAACAATTTTTTAATTTTTTTCTCTGTTGATTTTAGCCATATGGACACTCCTTGAGGGATGTCCTCCCACGTATCTTCTATTTTTTTTTGTTCAGTTTTTAGGAGCGTTGTGCAAATAAAATAAACCTGACTCGCTGATGTACAAGATTCTTCAGTTTATTGTTCGTTCCTAAATGCGACAGCCGGTTCAAGCCAAATACTCAAATATAATTCTTTAAAATAGAACGAACTCTCCAGAATCCATGACTGGTATAACAATTATTTGAATAAGAAACACCTCCTACGCTCAAGGGTCAGCTGGGAGTGTACAAAATAGAGAGGGTTGCATACAAATGTGTGCTGTGTTATTCTTTTAACTGTATTTTTACCACCTGTCTTAAAGGGTAAGTTTTGCCACTTTAGGGGGTTGATTTGGGTCTTGAAGATATGTAAATATGTCTTATTTATATACTTCTTGCGTTTAATTCTGGACACACATGGATTGGAAGGCTCAAATTTCGACGGTGACCTGTGAAGACTAGAACCGATCAGCTTAAAATTTCCGCTTCTGAGACTAAAGTACGATTGGTCTTATTTAAAAGCTTATTTTATCTATCAACAGATTTGTACGGAAAGTAATAGTGCACTAAACTTTGCTGTGCTGACGCACTAGGTACCCTAGCATGTGTCTTTTTCTTATCAATATGAGGCAAATAATCGCCTAGCAGGTGACAATCGCTACCGACTGAGCTAAAATAATTATAATACTTTATATAGACACAGCTTTATGGAACAACAATCACT